TGGTGCAGAACATGCAGTACATTTTGTGCTAAAAGGGGACCCAAGCATAAGAGACGTGCTCCAAGGAAGTTATATCAAGTTGGCGCACCAATGGAAAGAGTAGCCGTTGACATTGCTGGCCGTTTGCCCCAAACTTGTGCTGGAAAGTACATATGTGTGGTGATGGATTATTTCACCAAGTGGCCTGAGGCATATGCAATACCAAATCAGGAAGCTACAACTGTAGCTTCGGCTATTAGTGATTTCTTCTTCAGATTTGGTATGCCATACCAACTGCATTCGGATCAAGGCCGTAACTTTGGATCAGCTGTGTTCCATGAATGCTGCAAGTTGTTTGGAATACGAAAAACCAGAACAATGCCACTCCACCCACAGTCTGACTGGATGGTAGAAAAGTACAATTGGACACTGGGACAGGAATTGGTAAAGTTTTGTAATAGCCTCCAAGATGACTGGGATATCTTACTCCCTCCACTGTTGATGGCCTATAGGACAGCAGAGCATGAAACCACTGAATACACTCCAGCAAAGTTGATGTTTAGTCGGGAACTTCGGTTGTCAGTGGATCTGTTAATAGGATGCCCACTTTATGAAGAGTTGCCTGAAAATGTGTCAGAGTTCGTGAAAGTGTTATCGGAAAGGATGGATGATATTCACCATCAAGTGAGTTCAAACTTGAAAATGTCTGCTCATTCCATGAAGCTATGTTGTGATAAGAGATCTACTGAAGTCGGCTTTGTACCAGGAGACAAGGTGTAGTTGTATAATCTCCATGGGAAGGCCCATATGACATAGTGGATTGTCTCTCAGACTTTCTGAATAAAATGTGGTCAGCGAAGTAAGCCAAAGGTGGTGCATGCCAACAGGCTTTGGCATTATCATGGTCAAGGACATTTCAGTTGGAACGAAGTGAACAATGGAACAAAAGATGCCACTGAAGATGTGTCACCTGGAAAGGCCACTGTTGAAAAAGAAACTCTACCATGTTTTGAGAAGGGAAACAGTGAAGCCCTTGATGAAGTTACTACCACTTATGTGACTGTTACCAATAATAGTTCATTTCCTGACGCAGCAGATGAACCTCACGTGAAGCAGAAGCCAATGAGATGGAGACCAGTAGGGAAGAAGATACGTCCCGTAAAATTAAGAGACTTTGTTGAATTTTAATTTTGTGTTTGTAAATTCTGTACATCTAATTAAGTTATTGTTAATTTTCTATTGGGTTAATGTAAGTGGCTATTGTTCAGGACGACCAATACTAAGGAAGGGGCAGTGTTACGACAGCGGAAGTCACATGATGCTAGTAACACGTCATGAGATTCTAAAAAGATCACATCCGTTCGTGAAGCCTCGAGTGTTCTCCAGACGCCCTCTATTTCATATATATAACACCGGCGAGAAGTGGTATGAATAATAGCAGATTGAAGAGATAGAGATGGACAATTGAGTCAAGCGAGGTAGTAAAGTGCTTGAATGGTTTGTTGTGAATTATAGCATGTGTTTTTAAGTTAAAGTGAATGTGGAAATTAAGTGTATTGCAAAATTGAATTGAGAAAGAATAAACTAGTTTTATTTAAGAAAGTACTTGTATCGCAGAAGTTTCTCGGAAAGAATTTCCACGAAAAATTAACAAACGAACACAGACGTAACAATATCATCACTAGTTTTAACAGTGTTGCCAAGAGATTGAGAAAGGCAGTCATAAAACATTTTAAGTAAAAAATATAGTGATAAGTAACAACTTTAAAGCCCCCAAAACACAATTCCATATCACAGGTACTGAATTCTATCATTCTTACCGATTTTGTTCTTTCCAGTGATGCCACTGCAATCAAATTTACTTGTAAGTGCTATAATAGATGCTATTATAAATAATCACTGTTAATCTGTCTTACTATAATCAAGTATAACATTGCAATATCATGTATATGATTAAACAAGCAAACTTGTTATTACATACATACATACACAATTATATCTATGGGAGAACTGTAAGACATGTTAATTGATCGCATTGGTTGACTGTTGAACTGAAGCTGCTTTCTTACAGTTTACCTAAGCCTGCTAAGAAACACCTTACAAAAACATAAATTTTAGCTTATTACAAAATATGCACTGTACTGTGTAAAGCTGAATAAAATCATGGTAACTTAATGTTAATGAGTCATAAATCACAGTTATGGACAAAGTAGATCTTAAGTCCAAATTCTTTCCATAAGATAAACATTTTTCCAAAATAAGTGATGAAGATTTTGACAATCTTCTAGGAAACAATGAAGGTATTTTTATACCCAAAAAATCATTTTTTTTAATTAAGTAATTTTACTAAAAATTTGTCTGTGAATTTATGGAGTCAGAGTTTGACCCAGTTTCTGACTAGTCTAATGTGCAAGGTGATTTTAATGCTAAAGTTAAAAATATTTTCTTTCATTTTATAGTTTCCAAAATTTCATTTGCATATTGACTAGAACCTTCTAAATGTTTATCAAGTTCTTATTCCATAAAACTTTATATTTTGTCTGATGTTTTCTCTATCTTAACACTATACAAGCTCATTTGATTTGACAGACCTTGTGTCCACCATACAAAAATAAAATAAACCTAAGTTATCTTTTTTCTCTCTATAATGACTGAAAATTATAACAGAAAATTACAGTTATTCATCCTAAATAACCTTAGGCTTGTATTGTTTTATTACTTTCTAAACTGTGTCTAACTACTGAACCCAACTAATAAGCTAGAAATAACCTGGTGAACACACAGCTCAAGTTAAAGTACTGAGTTACATAATGCACGAGCTTCTCGCATGCATACCTCATAGCAAATTTAATTTATAATTTATAATTAATTTTTTCATTTATGTTTTCTTATCTAACCTAACAAGTTTCTAATTTTTTTTTATTTTAGTTACTTTTATAACAATAAGAATATTTATATAAAGACCAACAAATTTATCATTACGTGTGAGTAGTGCACTTTTTTTTTTGCAGTAGAAGGCTTGAAGTGTCAATAAAAGTTAACCCTAATTTTTGCTAGGGTTTTTGTTAGTACTTTACTGAATTTTTATTTACTTCAAATATTCAATCTAGAACACAAAACAATAATATGCATAAAGCATACAATGTCTTATAATCATTATAATTTAACTGGCTTTCTAACTAAGCTATAAATGCTCGCTGAGCTGAACTTAGCAATAGCAACTTTGAAGCTGTATACCAAATAATTCAAAAATTATCATGAGAAGTTAGCATTATACATAAATTAGTAAATTAAAATCTTCTCTTTCTATTGGTTATAAATATTGTAATAGCAAACGTCATTTTTTGAAAACAGTATATGATAGGAGGATGTAGGATGTGGATTTGACTTTCTAGTTTTTAACTGTAAATCAAGATAAATATTTGGAGGCTATAAAATTACCTCCAAATGCAATACCTATGCTGTAAGTTTATAATTTGCACCAAAACTCAGAACCCAAATAGAAGTGGAAAGATTATCTAAATTGTGCAATTTGGAGTAAACAAGTGTCACACGATAGAGAAAAATGATGATTGAGAATTTATTTAAATATTTAATTTTGAAATTAAGACATTAAAACTAATATAATATGGTTTCCATGCCAAACTTATTGATAGACGTTTATATAAATATAACAATACTGTCTGTTGTTTGTCCATGTAACTACTTCGTATAGTGTGGATGGATCTTCACCAAATTTGGTGTGGGGTTTATTAGGTCCATGGGGAGATACATACAAATTTTCGGGTTTGCATTTTGCAGTTTTTATGGACATTTTTTACAATTACATATAAGGGAAGCAACTTTTCATGTCATAAGACATTTCATAAATCATGAATTTACATAACTTCCATACAGGGAACAGGTATTCCAGCTAGTTGATAATAAAAAGTTAAATTAAATTTTGCATATAACTCTGTCAAAAGGTCATGATATGTGCACTTTCACTTACACCTATCCAGAGGGTTATTAAAATAACTTCAATTAGATATATCAAAACTGGCAATAACTATTTAAAGGTTTCATGAATATATACAACATGGTACTTTGGCACTCACTACTTGTTCAATCCCTTAATTTCCATGTGATACACAGATGTAATGATATTACATGCATTTTGTGTTGTTAGTGTACTAAACAAATGAAAATATTTAATGCTATAAAGTGAACATACCGTGATGTTTTCTTTCCTCTCTACAGACAGAGCAGCAGTCTTTAATAAACCAACAGTCTGTGAAGCACATGAAGGATCAGAAACAGGTAGCTTCTCTATACACAAAGAAATTTCACATAAAAGCAAAGTTCCTTAAATAAAAATAAAAATATTAAAATTAACCAGAACACAAGATAAAAAATAAAAACATTCAACAGAAATGTTCAAAGCTGCTTTTCCAACTTTCCTGAAATTTGGGCAGGCCACTTTCTTTTAATAATTCTCCTAAATGCATGGTATGCCAGTTTTTTCTAAATTGATGAATTTAGAATGCTTTATATTCCATTTAATTCTGTACTAGATACTATTTTCTTTATCATTTTTATATACTAATAAGTAGTGTTACTTTAATGTCCATAAACCAATCATAAATTATTTATTAAAAAACTTTTAGTGTTGGGTTAGGTGCTGTTTGGGGCATCTTCCATGGACAGGAAATCACCTGACAAGTTTTCTTTTGACAGCATTTTGATCTCTATGCTGAGACCTCAGAATAAAGAATCATACATCATTGAAAAGAAACATGCCAGGTTGTTTCCCTCCCATAGAAGATTCCTAGTACTGAACTTATTTTTCTGGTTTGAAATACAAATCTGCTGCCAAGATTGATGAAGGAGGACTAATTCAAACACTGAAAAATATAATTACATAAAAATATTAGATATTACTTTTGTTGCTTCTTTGTGTGTGCATGTGTAATTAACACTAAAAGGTTAAATAGATATCTAATTACAGGGATATCAAGTAGAAAATTAATTCCATTACTTATTGCTTTATTCATGCAATACTTCCTTTAACCCTTTACAATCTAGTGCATCACTTTGGCCACATCTGCATTTATAGAAAATGTATTTCAAATAGATACTCACCTCTCTGCACCATAAAGAACTACTGCTTCACCCACACTGCTGTGTAATTTCCTGAGTATGTCACAAATCTTGAACAAAGCTCCCACCCCTTGTACCAGTCTATGATATAATCACCATTAAACTATAGCACCCCACCAACAGGAGGACAAGAAATCCTCATGAGCACTGGGAAGTGAACAAAGACTCATTCTTGGTGAGGCAAACTAAATGCACTGGAAGTGGGAAGGGGAGTTGGGAGGTGGTAGAGAGAGATGAGTATCTATTTGAAATACATTTTCAGGTAAGGAAAATGTTAATTTCAGGAATGCTACTTGCTTCTCTGCATGACTAAGAACTAGAATCCCACACTGAAGATGGTGAAGGGGCTAGTGTAGAAATATTACAAAGAAGAGCTCCTTTTTGAAAACAGCCCAAGGAATGTGGCATCCACGAGGCTCGGGGGTAGCTTATTGAGAAACTGCATCCATCTCAAGCAGTAAATACTTTTCATCCAGTAGAAGTGGTAAAGTAAAAGATATTGTCATAATAATCTTTTGTGGGGTGCTAACATGTTGTTAATATGGGTGAAATGGCACACTACTCAATTGTTCATTATTTCCCTGGGGGACAGCTAGGCATGAGTGTGTAAATATGACTAACTGGAGAAATATTTACGAGATATTCACAATAAAAATTAGGTGCAGGGAGTAGCATCACAGACTTGTGTACCAGGGTGAACCCAAGGCCCATCCAGTTGGACCTAGCAATCGGAAATGGCTTGGTTCATAATGAATTGGGGTGTCCTGTAACTAATGAAGGGTGCATCCACTTTATGTCATAACAGTGAGATTGCACAACCAAATAAAAAACTATCCACACTGACTTTACCAGTCATTTTGGACTAGGGAAGCAAGGGTTCTCCTGTACTCTTCTAGAAAAAAGGTGGGAGACATTTGTGTGTGGGAGGACACTGGAGAGATGCACAAGTTGCTGTCATTAAGCATAATCATCTGAGAGACAGTTCAATCAGTTACCACAACTACAAAAAGCAGGCACAAGAAAGGTGTAAAAGCAGGTACACATCTGATGTTATCTTCTTTTTTTTTTCAAGTGGAGAATGACCAAAGCAGTCTTGCAGAAAACCCCGTCTGAACAAGGCACTGACCAGGGATGAATGGGCTTAACACTTTCTGCACTTTCCTGCTCAATGCAAATTTTGTGTAAGTATTCCCTGATAGGCAATATCAGTCACTCAGAAGGTTTCATTGTCTCCATAATAAAATATATATGCAAAGTAAAAATAAAGTGGTTTTGAAACCTCAAACAAAAGCAAAATAAACAACTCATCATCAAAGCCACTGTGAAGAGTGAAGAATGGCAAATAAAGGGAGACAAAAGCCAGGGTAGATAAAATTCCTTGTGTATGAATAATGAGATGGGTCACGGGCGAAAGGCCATGTCATCTTGTTTGTTTACTCACATTCAAAATTTTATTGAGCTACTATTTCATGCATTTATATCAATAAATTTGATATCAAACTGTAGATTATAATTCAAATTTTAGTACTATACATTACTCAATTTCTTAATTTAAAAGTAAATATTAAAAAAACTAGATAAACATTGATTTTTATGTGTCATGTGGTCTGTTGAATGCAGCACTGGTTCAAATTAGATGTTTGTGATGTCAAAATACTAAGTCTATAGTTTTGTAGGAATTAGAAACTCAAATTATTGAAATAGACAAACTAGAACATAAAATAAGAAGGTCCTATCCTTTCTATTTGCTAAGATATTGCTCATGTAATAAATCAAACAGTGACATCCTGCTTACTTCTTTCCATTTTTGGAAATGCTCTCTTATATACACATACTTCAGAATGTCCCCTTGTGGCTTTCTCAGCTATTTTAAAGTGTTAGGATGCCATCTCATTCTTTTGAACCAACATTTCAAGGAGGTAGGTTGTGTCTTTAGTCTGCTCAAAATTTCATATTTTTTTTAGACTAAAATACATTTTAGTTACTAAGCTTGATAAATTATAGTAGAATTCTATGGTATTGATGTAGTAATTTATGATAATTTTAGTTATTCATATATACATATAAAACCTAAAAATATTTTGTTTCATATCCTCCTTTTGAAAAAATTTTAAAGGCTTAGCAACCTACATCAAGCATCAACCAAGTACAAAGGTCATAACTAGAAGAGATAATTGTTTGCTTTACTTCTTTAGTTACTGTTCAATGTTTTAAGAAAAATAAGTTTAAAAACTTATTTCTAAATAGCAATAATCTATATGCATATCATGTATAATAATTGAAAGGTGACTGTACTTTACAAAATACTAGTCTACTAAAACACAGCCAAGACAAGTTACTTTGTACAGACCAAAGATCAGTCTTATGTTATCTAATATGGTAACATGAGTGTGCACAAGTCACATCATTGTAACTTCTGTATTGGTAGCCAGGCACAGCCAAAAGGTCAATATAATAACAATAATAAATATATATATAAATGTATAATGTTATGAGATTTAAGCTATTTAGTCTAAACATTTATGTTTTCATGTTATAATTTGTGTTCATTCTAGAATGAAAGAGGCATAATTTATATTTATTACCTAATTTTTTTATGGTGGTTGTGAGATCAGTCAAATCTACCAAACCCATACAGAGATCAATTACTGAAAATAACAGATAAAATATAGTTTTTTCTTAAGAAATGTTTGATAACTATTTGGACGTAATATAGATCTCGCATGTGAAATTTGAAAATTTTCGGATGTATAAAATTATTTTTAATCTTATAATGAAAATTAATTTGCATGATAGATAAGCAACCTTGTGAAAAGAAAAAGGCATGAGGAAAACATTTCTTTAGGAACATTAAGACTTAATAAAACAATTTGTTATCTTGCATATGAAAGCAATGTAATGTTTACTGATAATCTGCCAAATTTTGTTAACATTCATTTACTAATTTAAAAGTTATATCAAGAAAACTATAACAAGCACAAAGTGGTTACGAGGTCGGTCCCAGGGACTGAGCCTGTGCTGAAGGAGTTAATGTGTCAAGGGACATTCACACCTCCCACTACAAGATTTTAAACAGGGTAAATTGATGACAAGAGGCAAGAGAAGATGAGAGATGACAAACATAATGGGAGGAGACATGAAAAATAAGAAAAAGATCATTGACATAGAAGAAAATAGGTGGAAGAAGTGTATAACCCAACCAGGCAAAGTGGAAGAAGGAGATAAATAAATAGAGGAAGTGGAATTACATGGTAAGAAAAGAAACTTAAAACACCCTTAAAAAGGGGCACTACAAGTGAGATAATAAGGAACAGACTGTACAAAGAAGATGAGCTGAATACAGAAAGAAAAGGAAGGATGAATGGAGAAAACATCTAAAGACATTGAAGGTAAACTTGTCCCTGTGGTAAATAGTGCAGGAAAAGGCCAAGACAAAAGTGGTGGCTCCCACAAGGGAGAAGAAATATGTCCAAAGCATATAAAAGATTGAACCATACTAGGCACAGGGCATCATCGGCCAGAACTACAGAAGCAAAGATGGGATACTAACTTAATGGAAGTGAGAGGAGGTGAAAGGCAGATATAACAGAATGGCCACAATGGGAGCAAATCCACTGAAAAACTAGAGGAAGAATGAATCACTCAGTGGGAATGATTCTAGCATTGATAACATAGTAGATCATCTGCCACCAGGACCTGACGGTGGTCATGAGCCCAAGAAAGTAAGTTCGGAGCCAGGAAAACAGAGGTCCTAAAAGCAAGTGCCTCCCTGAAGAAGAAGGTGGCTGAATGGATCATGATAAGAAGACAGAAGATGATGATGGCAAGCCTGCAGAGTTGCTACCAGCTCAAGGAGATACATATGGAGAAACCTTGCCCTTGGAGACCAGGTACCAGATATAGATTAGGTATCCAAAACTGCATCTCACCAAAACATAGATAGTGTAAAAGTGTGGTTATAGGACCAGTTGTCTTCAAGCACAAAGTCAATAGAACATGCCACCTGTGTTACCCTCACCATATACACATAAACCTAAATATGTAAGCAGAGGGAGCCCACAAACTGACTTCCAAACAGAAGAAAGTCTAGGTAATATGAGGAGAAGGGTAGTATCCAAGTGTGGAATCAAGTGAGGCACCATAACCATGAAAGGTGAAAAGAAAATAGTGTATCTATGGAGATACCTGCACTAATTCTTTTGCCTCAGGCTCATGTAATTTGTGGAAAACTTTATGAATTTCATTTGTGCAACAATACATATGGTAACTCTGAGATTTCTTAACATATCCTCTTAAAAACTGGTAAAATTTTGATAAAAATCGTAAGTATCTCATAGACAAAGAATGACATTATTTTAATTAAGTGTTTTTACTAAAAATGTTATTTATCTATTCTAGTTACTTGCACTCAAATTCTTAACAAATCAAGTGCAAGGTGATTTTCATTTTAAGTATAAAAATACTTTTCTTCATCTTATAGTTTTCATATTTTATTTGCATAAATCTCTAGAACCTCCTAAAAGAATATCAATAGTTATTTTAAAGTTTATATTTTTTCATTTTCTCCACCATATCACTAACTCTAGCTATTATCATCAAGGCACAATGTCATAATTGAAATAAGGAAATAGAAAGAAAAAATATATGTATATATTTTAATTTTTAGTCAAATATCTTTAAAGATTTTCCTTTTAAAAATTGTAATTTCAGGTTTTTACCTTTTCACATAATTAATTCTTAATCTTTTCTTTTCTTCCCATTTACAACTTACTATTCATCTTCACACAAATCAATGGTACCCTTGAAGCATATTACAGTGTCTCTGGCAGAGATGCAGAACCCTTCATCAAAATTTTCTTGAACCATGTAATATTGTAAGATTTGAGAACTGATGCACAGTATGGTGTATATTTAAAAAATGTTTAAACCTTTCAATTATGCATTTTAAAACACATATTATACATAATTAATTAAAATATAACAGTAAGACCTAAATACACTTTAAACTGTATCTCTAACTATAACATATTTAGGTAAAAAACAACCATAAGTGCTATAGTCGATCAAGCAGCCAACAATACTACAGTCAGTTATATGTACTCCGTGACAATTGCATGCCAATTTCAAAATAATCATTGTTAGATTATAGTGTAACATGAGCTCTTTCTAATGACTATACACATGTGTATGCAATGTCTACGTATAGGCTATAAAGCTCACACAAGACTGTTGAATGTGGGAATGGCACCTGTCAGGGGTTGAAAAACTTTTACTTGTTTCAAGTAAATATACAAGTCAAAAGGTCATGTAAGCATCTTATAGTCTAAACATACATCTACACAACTGCCATTATATTATTGAAGATAGAGTGTGCCAAAGAAGAGAATTTTCATAGCTACTTGGTCACATGACAATACATTTGAAGTTAAGTAGTTCTTAAAGGTTCCTTTTGAAATAAGAGACTTAAAACTTAAATAACAAAACTTTGAAAATTAACATACATTAAAATGTTAATTACATTCTCATACATTTATAGTAAAGGTGTTTAATGAAATTTTCAATGTAATACAGTGATTTGTGTAGAACACTGTTTAAAGGGGTACCCATTGTAAAAGGGTTAACAGGCTAAAAACCACTGAAGCAGAGATGCATGAGCATATCCAAGGGGAACGAAGGCCTCAAGAGAAGCATCATCAAAAGAGACTAATGTAGAAAATGGAGGAAACAAAAGAACCATGGTGTATCAAAAACTACATGCCACAAAAACAAGTATATTGAGCCTGCTTCACATACAATCCCCACCCTGTATTTCATTCACTTGGGGACTAAGCTGGATTTAAAAGCCAAACCCACCACCTCTAACAAGACAACTCCTGAAGGAAAAGGAAGGTCGCAACAGATGGAGCCACATAAGAAGGGGCAGTAGAGGCAAAATATTCATGAAGTAGTAGAGCAACATGCCCCAAGAATGTAGCTTCTTTGTAAAAACCCACCAGATCCAACATAAAAGATGAGGCCATATCCAATATGAAAGGAAGGACTGAGAACCAAATGTTTGACAACTGCAGACAAACCGAAAGAAGCAAAAAGTAGGCAGACGAATCAAGATGTGGAAAAAATGTCAAAGATGCTGAATTGGGTCACCCAACACCAGTAACCACTGGAGAGTGAGAAACCAAGGAAACCAAAGTTGGGTCAAATAGGAAGGATAAAAAAAACTAGAGTAAAACCCCTAGAGTAGGGTTTAGTAAATGTCTTATGGCATTTGAAAAAGAAGAGGTGGAGAAGAGAAGTATATGCTAAATTCCTGAGGAATTCACTAGGTTGTAGTAAAGGGAGTCCATCAGTGGTCAAAGTGAGAGAGAAGCTCCCACAGGACCAGAGCCAAGGAGTGTCTCCTGAAACAAATTACTTCCAAGACCTGTGACAGTCAGCCCTCAGAGATGGGAAACTAGGGACAGTAACAAGAGAACAAGGGACAGAAGAAGGAGTGATCCCAAAAATTTATATATGATGAAAAACCTGGTGGGGCCCCAGTAAGAATAGATGACTTCTGAAGAGATATTATCAACTTAAAATGTCAATGTACAAGAAATAGCCCTGAAACACACATTATAAAGAAAATGTGCAAGACAGAGATCCTGGAGAGGAGATTGAAGGATGTGAAAACCAGAAAGTAAGGCAACCTGAAAAAGTATGCTCTAAAAACATAGAAACCAAGGAAGAAAACTGGAGAGAAGTTGTCCCAGTAAAGCTCACAGGGTCATGGTGGAAAGCCTCCAAATGATTGTGAAGCAAGAGAATGAACAAAGAAGTCTAGTAAGAGATGAAGATGAATATATGGAAAGAGTGAAAAAAAAGGAAAAAGACGAGATCCCTACATTGTAAGAAAAGGTTCAGGTGGATAAAAATTATTGTAGAAAAAAGACAAAAGTCATATACCTGTGGAATCCAAGCAGTAAAAAACAAAAGTTGGACTAGCTGATCCATGGTGGGAAGAGGGAATGAGAAGGAAAAAGCAGACATGGAAGCATAATTGGTGAAACATTTAAAAGATGTAGCAGGCTCAACTGATGTAACAGAAGCAGGAGGTTAGGAATCCTAGGTACAAAATCAGAATGGAACCAACCATGTAGTGAACAATGGCAGTAATATCATTGACCTTCGGTGGCTCCAGACCCTATGACAGTATTGGATGACTGCTGTGAAGGAGTATTAAAAACCTCAAAAGATATCAGAAACATGAATACATAACCCACTTAAACTACAAAACTGATGCTGTGGTGGTCTCTTTTTATAAAATACATAGATAACAGGTGCTTTTTTGTTATTAGTTAGAAAATTAGCCAGGTAATTAGCATGAGGTAATAGTTCTTTGTGGTGCAGAGAGGTAACATTTCTGGAATAAAACTATATCCAAAACACTGACACTTCAAACATAAATCATGACAATCATTGAATGTTTTTTGAACCTCAATTAGATTTTTTGGGTCAATTTTCAATTCATACTAAAATAAAATCCATTATGTGACATAATTCGATACTATGCCATTTTGCGTATTAGCAAAATACAATCCCAGCAAAGCCTAATGACATCATGCACTAGCCCAATTTGTTGAAAGAAATTTTACAATAAAATACCCTGTATATCTTTAAAACTAATATAAACAGATAGTATTTATTTCATTGTAACTTATCCATAACACTTTTCTTCTGTAATCCTTTTAGAAATTATGTACAGGTGTTTCAGAAAGACACCCTCTACTGATCTCTAATCTTAAGCTATGAGCTACCATTAGTTTAAAATTAACTGTATGTGTTTTTGTAGTGAAAAAAGGAACTACCAAACTAATCACTTCAACAAAATAAACAAACAAGCAGGGTAACCCTATAAAAACACATGATAAAGTAAAATTATCTAAAAAGTGTGTGACCACAAGATGCTTCTCAGATAACAGTTAAAAGTTTAGAATCTTATAATCCCTATAATGAAGACATAAAAGTTCTATGACATGTAAATTGTGAATAAAATATAATCCTATCTTTCAGAAACTACCATTACAAGTACAGAAGTTGTAAAACAAAATATGAAGTGAATTGAAGTTTACACTTTCCGACACCACCAGTTTTAAAAATGCACTGCTTTCAAACTATTTGAACTGGAAATAAGAAACAAACATACATACACAAATTCTGCAGATTTCCATCTTCATTTTCTACAGTGAATGCTTTATCTACACAAGTGGAAAGTTAAAATATTTCTACTCTCCAAATTAAAATTAGGAAAAAAAAAGAAAACTTAATATTTACCTCTTAAGTCAAAAAACCCAAGTAGTTCATGGTTTTTTAGATCCACTATGAGTAGACTTGTATTGGTTGCTATAGCAACAAGATAGTCATCTCTCTCCAAGCTGAAAATAATGAGGAAAAATATTTAAACAGATTTAAAAGATTACTAAGAATAGTGTTAAAGTGAAAAGTGTTTTATATGTCGTTACAAACTATACTGGTTTTAATACTAACCATAATAAGTGTATATATGTACAATGACCAGCCACATTATTAGAATTGTCATGTAATTTCTCAGTCTACCACTAGTAAGAAAGACAGGAACAACATATAGGGTTAAGTGTCTTATATGGTTCTCTACCATCAATGTCACACATTTCTTATCATTCATTGTCCATAATTTGAAATGTTTATATTACAACACTAAAGCATATATTTCCTCCTGAAGAAGTGTAACTTCTTTCTAATAATAGTTGAGAATTCTAACTATGATGTATTGTAATCTTTACAGGGTTCAAAAATCATCCCATAAGCCATATAAGTCTATTTTGCATATAGTAAAAAAAAAGTTAACATCTTCTTAAATTGAAAATGTATTTTGATAGGTACTTACCTTCATCCACACAAAACTTGATCTTCTTTGTGCCCTCTAAGCATTGCTAAAAATTTTTTGCACTTAATGCATCACTCTATATACCCCATCAATTTTGAACATGTAAATGCCATGTAACTACTTTCCACCAATAATACTGCACCATCTATACTTGCGCAGCTAGCTCCCTCTGCTATTCCTGCTCAATCCTCACTTTCGAGAATTGGCAGGCTATAAAAGAAAGAGGAAGGGTGGAAAGTACCTTTGGGAAATACATTTTCAGTGTAAGAAAATGTTAAGATGGAGGGGTCAGCTTAGGCACACAAAATTTAAACCAAGCAGAAAGTGACCACTCAGAATGAACAGGTGTGTGCTCTATAGATGAAAACAAAGCACACTTGTGGGGTACCGCACTACTTCTGGAACATGTATGCTCTTCAACCTTGAAGCAGGAAATGAATCTGATATGGTCAGAAAATAAGGATGTGCACAAGTGCCATTTTTTTCTGAGAGGTGCAGTCTATAGTAAAATATAAACTGAATTAGCTATGTACATACACAACCTCAACAATACAGACAAGGTTCCATAACTTGTCCTTGGCTTTAGAAGGTTGAGGATAAAGCAAGAATAAAATATATTGTAACATAAACATAGTGGCTAGGGCACATGGAAAAATGTTACATATACTCATCAACCCTAACCGTAAGTAAACAGTGTGTCATCAAACAACCAGAATTATGAAGAGGAAGTTAGCTTTTAGCTAAAATTGGACAAACTCCCAAAATCATACCCGGCATTACAGAGTCATGGGGTTGCCTTAACTCAACTGCAATGACAGGGTAATATCTGTAGTCGGTATTATGAGCAGAAATCATAACTTGCCCAACCATAAATACAGGGAAGAAACATCCTGCATCCGGGAATTATGAGGCAGATGAAGTCCCCCAAACTCAACCATAGGAGTAAGGAAAGAAGCTCCTACAACCAGAATTAATGAGAAGAGGAGCCTTTAAGGCACGCAACTCTAAAAACAGGGCAGTATCATCCTGAACCCAATATTATAAGGAGGATCCTACATAGGCTGGACCTGCTATAACAGATAGCTGTTCACCTGGTAAAAAACATTCAGTGGAAATAGAAGGATGGAAACCAGCTTTGCCCTCTTCTCACTGAGTGTATAATCATGAGTATGTATGGTAAATTAAATTTCTAACTCACTCAGGAGGAAGCCATTATGGTCCACCACCCCAGCAACTGGAAACTGGCAAGCACTCTTGCGCTCCACTGGAAGAAAAAAAAGTAAATGCAGTGAGGATTCTGGAGGAATGTCAAACTGGAAAAGTGCAATAGGTGTCTGAGATTCCCTACTTCGAAAAGCAGACCAACTCACTTTATTCAATCAAAGGGTCAGCAGCACTGGGCATAAATCCCCTTCTGTATTACTCAAGAAGTCCATGAGTGATGGTCCACCACTGAATGAAACTTACTGATATCTGGAAACATATATATATGTCTTGCAGAACACCCCATCTCTACAATGAGCATTATAGTGCAATCAGTAAATATTGCGGGTTTGAGGCAAAGCATACCTGACCAGGCAACACCTGCCACAGAGTGGGATCCTATTATCAGTGGTACAAACAAGGGTTGCTGAAAATAAGAGCATAAATGAAAGGAAGTGATAAGATTTACCCCAATCAGAGGTGAGCAGATGTGTGAATAATCACAATGGGAGGGAGACAATATCTACCTGAGAAAGATACAGCCAGATCATGCCAATAATGACCGAGAAAGGTATTGGGAGTAGTCCATATTCCGGCGTGAACAATCTCCTCCAAAAAACAGCAAAGGTGAATAGCCAAAGACATGGTGATATAATGTATTTGAAGAGATATTGTGGAAACAATGACCTTCCATGGATAAGTCCAAATATGCCAGCCTAACAAGTTGACAAACCAATCAACCTTCCATGGATAAGTCCAAATATTCCAGCCTAACTAGTTGACAAACCAATCAGTTTGTGTGACAGGGGAAGGGAAAAAGAAGGGTTTCAGGGAATAAAAAGTCAGGAATGTGAAGCCAAAAAAGGAGGCAGTATGTGCCACATAACACCATAAGGCATGAACCAGATAAAGAAGACAATCAGGATTGAAATGAAAGTACAGGTGAGGGATGGAAGATAAGGTAACTGGTGTGAAAGCCGAACCACCTTCACGGGGAGCATAGGTCTTAGGAAAGAAAGACTGTTCGGGATATAAGATGACACAAGAAGATTGGTAGAGGATGCGGGTAATGTAAGTGGCATAAATATCTGATTGATGACGTCTGCATGCAAGGAGAAAGAAATAGGTCTAGAGATGGTACATGGAACACGTGAATAAAGATTCAAGGGGAGGATGGGAAAGGGCATAAAATACCACATGGTGGAAAGGCTGGAAGCTACATCAAAAACAACAAAAGGCAGAAGGTACACCATCACCTTTGGTAAATGAACTTGGAAGAAAGTCTGAGTGATCAGGAAAGGAAAGATGAAACACATGGAGTCAGATGCTGGGCTGAGGCAATGGACCTCACAAAAGCCATGCATGAAGACATCTGGTTGAACAATGTCCGACCCAGGTTGACAGAGTAGAGACAGAGAGAGGTAAGGGAGGTTGTACACGTAAAGGTCGGAGCAGAGGGAACCATGGTTGCACCAGCCAATACAGAGCCACAAGTAGGACTAGAGACTGAGTGATTTGGATTAGGGATAGAACTCTAGAGAGGAGTCAAATAAGAGTGTAAGAATAAATGTGATGACCCCTCCAATCTTGACTGAATGTGTCCACTCCCAGAGCTAGCAGTTGTGGAACAGGAGACCAAAAGGAAGGAAGGAAGTATTGATATGAAGTGTTCCCAGCTGCGAATACACCCACCAAAAGACTTGTTGGTTCGAAATAAACAATTCACAACCAAATTCAGGGTGCCAGGAACATGGGAAGCTAAGACCACCATGTGGTGACTGTGGGCCCAGAAAAGGAGATCCATGGTCCAAATGCACAGACCTAGATTTTGTTATCCTCTTGCTTGGTGATATGAGTGACCACTGTGGAGTTGTCGGAGTGCACCATAACCACCCCTCCATGCAAGAAACGAAAGAAGTAGGACAAAGCTTGACAAACTGCCATAAGTTCTAGAAATTTGATATGGAGAGAAGACTTCTCGACTGACCAGAGACCGTAAATCTCCAGAGTGTCAAGGTAAACACCCTAACTCTCTAAAGATGCATCTGTGAACAGATGTAAGTCCGGACAAGGTGGAGGAAGCAGAACTACCACTGTGTGCTGCTCTCTGTCTAGCCACCAAGACAGGCCAGTTCTGACTGGGGAAGGAAGGGTTAAGGGATCTGAGAAGTTACACTGAAGGGAACATATATGAGCTTAACCCATGGGAATGAGAGTTTTCAAGGAAGCCCACATTCCCAAAAGGGAAAGAACCTCTCCAGCTGTGAGAGAATGTGAGGCAAGAGCCTATTGGACTGCTTGCTACATATTCTGAAGACAAAGAGGAGAAGGCAAATAAGCACAAGCATAAACAGTAGCCACATGTGAAAAAACATATGTCTAAACAAAGCTGTGCTAATTGAGAAAGAGAGGATTGACCAGGAATAGCAGAGGGAGCTAGCTGCACCAATATAGGTTGCACAGTATTATTGGTAGAAAGTAGTCACATGGTATTTACATGTTCAAAAATAATATAGACTGGTTCACTGAGCCCAAAAGTTTTTTTAGCAATGTTTAGAGGGCAGAAAGAAGATCAAGATAGCTTTGTGTGGAAGGATATAACACCATATCAGAATGGAATATTCTATAAATAGGAACAGGTCATAACAAAGAGATCATTCAATGCTTGATCATTTAGTATTATAGATTTTTACTATAATGTTAATTTTGTTTTTGGCAGAAGACACATTATTTTGCTACCAACTTTTTTCCACTTTCTTTTGTTATGGTAGCTATAAAAAAGAAAACAGTTTGATGCTTATTATATATATATATATATACACACACACACACATTATCTTTTTTACTACTATATTCAGTTCACTTTATTTATTTGTATATACATACATTAGAAGCTTAAGTACTAAAGAGTTTTCTGTCCCTCAAAAAGAATCTTACAAAATAGTTTAATTCATTTTATAGAAATGCTAATATCATGAAGTACTGTTACTTACTAATGAATTGGAGATTGACACTCATCTGATATTTCACTTTGTTGTTTGGTTATCCAATGAAGAGCTAGAACAAAATTTGTGGATTCTCCTCCACAACCTCCAGCTTCAACATGACCCTCTATAACCTCTCCTATCTCTTGTGGTTTAATACTACCTGTACCATCAGCCAAAAAATAAAAATTTCCTTATTTCAAACAACTTATTCCAAAAAATAAAAAGCAACATGTAAACAGGACTAAGTTTTCCCTAATTTTTACCTTGTTTAACTTATCCACTTTTACATCTTATCTATATAGGGTTTGTCCATTTACTAAACTTGGATCTTTTTAATGATATCACATCTCTAAATAACTGATCCTTTTATTCTACCTTAAGTGTTTCTATACATATAAAATGGTTTGATCAGATCTAATAAGTTACTTTTATACATATTTAGAACAATGGTAACCTGAATTACACATACCTGCTACAGTTTTATTGTCTTGAAATTTTTACATGTTCTACAGTAATTCCTGTACGATTAACAAGCCACATGGTGTGTCATTTCGGGATAGTATTTGTTTGTGTGTGCACTTTGACATTTTTTTTTCTTTTCAATATTATTTATTTGTCAAAGAGTTGAGATAATGGACTAAAGGTAAGAAAAATTTTTTGCCTTTTGGAATTCCAATGGTCTGGAGTGAGCCTAGAAACCACAGAGATAACTGCTATTTTTGCTCTTGTAACGTGCAAGCCTATAAATCTCAATATAAAAACGAAATTTCTTATGTGAACCTTCAACCTGCTATACCTGATGTACCTGTGCCTACTCGTCCAGAGACTCTTGATACAGTTTCAGCTGATTCTGAATCTGATATCAACAGAAATGATGATAGGGATTGTTTTCAACCTGAAACGTCTGGTGTACCACAACTTTTCAAATAAGGTGAACTTAATGATTTGGTGAGAGATTTGGACCTTCCAAAAAATTCTTCAGAAATTTTGGGGTCCAGACTTTTGGCTAAGAACTTACTTTCTCCAGGGACATCATTTTACTGGTACAGAAATTGTGAGAAAGAGTTTATACCATACCTTTTGCAAGGTTCACTAGTTTAATGCAAAAATATTACTGAATTAATACCAATGCTAGGAGCTGCAGTTTATCAACCAAGTGAGTGATGATTGTTCCCTGATTCCTCCAAAAGAAGTCTAAAAGGTGTTCTCCTTCAAAATGATAACATATATGCATCAGTTCCTATTGCTCATTCATTTCACTTCAAGGAAATGTACGAAAATTTCGAACTTCTTAATAAGGTCAAATACAAAGAACGTGGTTGGCTACTTTGTGGAGACATAAAAGTTCTTTGTATGTAGTTGGGTCAACAATCTGGTTATACAAAGTTTTCATGTTTTTTGTGTAAATGGGACAGCAGAGCATGAAATCAGCACTGGATGAAAAAGAATGGCCACGCAGAGTCAGCCTGATACCAGGATCGAAAAACATTGAATGTTAAAGTTTGGTTGACATAAAGAAAGTCCTATTACCTCACATAAAACTGGGCTTGATGAAGAAGTTTGTAAAGGCCTTGGACAAAGATAGCGACTGTTTCAAGTATTTATGTGGGCAATTCCCAGCTCTTTTAGCAACAAAACTTAAAGAAAGGATTTTTTGTTGGGCCTCAGATTAGGAAATTGACTTTGGATAAACATTTCAAAAGGACAATGAGGAAAGTTGAAAAAGAAGAAGCAAGGATTGCCTTTAAAGATGTTATTGACAAATCTTTAAGCAACAAGGACCCAAATTACGAAAATAGTGTCAATATCATGCTGGGATAAGTTCAGAGTTGGGTAGTAATATGAGCTTGAAAGTTCATTTCTTACACTCACATATTGACTATTTCCCTGAAAATCTCAGTACCGTCAGCAAAGAACAAGGGGGAAGATTTCATCAAGACATCAGGGAAATGGAGAAGAAGTATCATGGAAGGTGGAACATCAGCATGATGGCTGATTACTGCTGGTCATTGAAACGAGATGTTCCAGAAGCAATACATAAAAGAAAGACCACAACTTCTAGTTTTGAGAATAAAACATGTAGTTTTCACAAAAAAAAATGGGATGAATTAGGATGCATATTCATTTGACGTCAATGTTCTTTCCTTTTCTTCAGTTTGTTTGTATTTTTTGTTAACAAACACAATAAAAAAAATGTTCATTGTGGTAAATGAAATAAAAATTTGATCTAAGTAAGTTTTTTTCCCCCCAATTTGTAAAAAATCCCTATGTGATAGAAACAAAATGAATATTATTTTTGAAATCTGGAAAGCTGAATTATGGAAAGTCCATTATTAAAATCCCAACAACTTTTATGAAGTTTAAATTCACAGGCCTGTGTTCTTATAAGCTAACCAAAAACTGAGTGGGAAAAAAATCAATATCAAAGTATTAAGAGCTAAAACTTGAACTTCCTTCTCAAATGTGTTTCTGCAACACAATAATAAATCTTTAGTTTATTTCTTCATTTAATGATAAAAACCATAGTTTTTGGCTTTTATTTACATATAGATGCTTGATACATTAAGATCGACTGAAATAATAACTTAAATTGATAATTAATATGTACTTGTTACTTTATAGATTTAATAGATATTTGTTGTTACTTTATTAACGTTTTTACGCTTTTACTGTGAGGTAAAAATGGCTGCTGCTATGATTTTGTCTGGTTTATGAGCTCATTGCTGTCCTAATTTAGGAAATAAATATAAATTTTGCCCCTTTCATTCTAGAATGAACACAAATTATAACACAAAAACAAATATTTAGACCAAACAGCTTAAATCTCATAACATTACACATTTATATATATTTATTATTTTTATTATATTGACCTTTCAGTTATGCCTAGCTAACAATACAGAAATTACAATGATGCAGCTCATGTGCACTCATGATACCGTGTCAAATAACATAAAACTGACCTTTGGTCTGTACAAAGTAAATTCTCTTGGCTGTGTTTTAGTAGACTAGTATTTTGTAAAATACAGTCACATTTCAAATATTATACATTATATACGTATATAGATTATTGATATTTAGAAACGAGTTCTTAAACTTATTTTTCTCAAAACATAGAACAGTAATGAAAGAAGTAAAGCAAACAATTATCTCTTCTAGTTACAACCTTTGTACTTGGTTGATGCTTGACGTAGGTTGCTAAGCCTTTAAAAAATTTGCATGTGGAGGATACGAAACAAAATATTTTTTATATATATAATTGAATAACTAAAAAATAATAAATTACTACATTAATACCATAGAATTCCACTATAATTTATCAAGCTTAGTAACTAAGATGTGTTTTAGTTAAGAATAATATGAAATTTCGAGCAGACTAGACACACTCTACCTCGTTGAAATATTGGTCGAAAAGAAATAAATGGCACCAAGACCGTTAAAATGGCTGAGAGAGCCACTATGGTATATTCTGAGTTTCTGATTGGTTATTCATGTCATATATAGAAGTAAGTGTATATAAGGGAGAATTACCTCCTTGAAATCTAGGTACGAAAGAACGAAATGGCATCCTAACACATTGAAATAGCTGAGAAATCCACTAGGGGACATTCTGAGTTTCTGATTGGTTATTCATGTCAAATATAAAAGTATGTGTATATAAGGGACCCTTTTCGAAAATTGGAAAGAGGTGGGCGGGGTGCCACTGTGTTTGATTTATTACATGAGCAATATCCTAGCAAACTAAAAAGATAAGAGGCTCTTATTTTATATTCTGGCTTGTCAATATTGATACCTTGAGTTTCTAATTTGTATGAAACTATAGACTTAGTATTTTGACTTCACAAACATCTAATTTGAAGCAGTACTGCATTCAACATACTACGTTTCATACAAAAATCGATGTTTATCTCTGTTCTTTTAATATTTACTTTTAAAATAAGAAATTGAGTTATATATAGTACTAAAATTTGAATTATGATCTACAGTTCGAAACCAAAGTTATTGACATAAATTCATGAAATAGGAGTTCTATAACATTTTGAATGCAAGTCAACAAACGAGATGACATGGCCTTTCATCTGTGACCCATCTCGAAAAGGTTAACTTGAATTCTCCACTGTATAAGTATTCTCAGAATATGGAAACTGACTCAATAACTCACATACAAAATTGAATTCTCCACTGTATGATTAGTATTTTCAGAATATGAAATTAGACTCAATACCTGACTTAACCTGAACTCTTATCTATATATGTAGTATTTTTTTTTAGGTTTTATATATGCATTTGAATAACTAAAAAATCATAAATTACTACATCAGTACCATAGAATTCCACTATAGTTTATCAAGCTTAGTAACTAAGATGTATTTTAGTCTAAAAAAATATGAAATTTCGAGCAGACTAAAGACACAACCTACCTTCTTGAAATCTTGGTTCAAAAGAAAGAGATGGTGTCTTTAGAATTTAAAAGGGCTAAGAAAGCCAGTAGGGGGGACATTCTGAGCCTTCCATTGGTTATTCATGTCATATATAGAAGTATATGTATATAAGGGAGCATTTCGAAAATTGGAAAGATGTGGGCGGGGTGACACTGTGTTTGATTTATTACATGAGCAATATCTTAACAAATAGAA